TGAAGGGGACGGAGTTTTTCCGGGGTGATAGCTTTTGGCGTGTGGGGCTTTTGAGAAGCGGAAGGCGGCGTGTTGAAGCAATGTCTCTACTGTTAGGTTTTCTACCTACCTGCGATCTGATCTCCCCTCCCCCACCCATTCGTGAAATATCTCGGATGGGTTACGGAACTTTAGTGGTAGACCACGAGCGGGTTTTCATGCTTCAGACGAGAGTAACATCTTTCAAAGGCAATCTTTCGCAAGACTGAAAACGCCCCCGGAACGCCCAATATTTCCTCTTTCCAACAAGCTCTACAGTTTTCCTGAAGACCCGCTAGTTCAGAAGATATTTAGATGGGTCACCCTTGGGCGACATTCTGAGCCACTCAAAAGCTCGACTCCTTCTGTGCCATTGTAAGGATACTCATTCGCGAACTTCAATCTGCCGTCAACACATGTTCCCGTCGAAGCATAATTTGGTTGTCATCGATCAATTCGGTCCGAGTATGCGCCGTGCAAGACGCTTCTATGCAGAGGCGATGGAAAGGTGTAACTTCTGATTTTAGGTGATTTTGTCCATGCAAGCAGATGTTTGTTCAGGGTTTGGAAAGGTCGATACGCACGAATCTGTTTGAGATGTATTATTTAGTCATCTACGTACTTACGAGTTCATGCTAACTATTGATATTGCTAATCAATTGTTTTATATTTTGTAGTCTTCCTTACATCCGGGTCCTCTGCAGCTTTCCGTCCGCTCCATCAAACTTAGCGATGACACTTTTGTGCTGTTTGGTGCTCACCGACCCTGCGTTTACACCCCCCCCCCTCCCCAGCCGCCAAGTACGACACCCCGATGTGTTTCGCTCAACGATGCTGTACCCTGGCCTGATATCTGGATGTGTGGAAGCATTCTGATACTTATTTTTAGGCCGAGGCCCAGCGAAATGATCAGGAAGCCCGAATTTCAACTCTTGAGAGTCGTTTTTTGACCGTCCAGAAGGAGGCAACGTGTATACGGGATCTTAACGACAAACTGGAACACCAGGTAATTATAGTTGTTTTGAACTCCTTATTACAATGACGTGAACCTAGAGGTCAAAATTTTTCGTTGCGTACTGGGTAGTCAGAAGTCGACTAAAATGTAGCTTCTCTTATATCCTGATGCTTTAAGTAGAGTAACAGTGTTGACAGACAGCGGAAGGATAGTAGGTCCAAATGGCCGTTTGAAATGAGACGTGTATTACTCAATGCAATCTGGTCGGTGATTACGAAGATTACGAATCTGGCTTCCTTACTTGCTGACTTCTCTGCAACAAGTTAGGAGTTTTTAGTGTATACTCACACTGTTAGGCATAGTCACACTTTCCTGTGGGTATTCTAATGTTCTGCATAAATTCAGAAGAGCAGGTTCACGCTGGCGTGCTTTCAGTCAGGGTACGCCATCGCGTTGTGTGAAATTTCTGCTAAGTGCGACCCCCCCCCCTACCGAGGGTGTATCTCGGTACGCCGAGGGTGTATCTCCTTACGACCTCCCCCAGATGGTAAAAAAAATACAACCAAACAGGCAAACAGGACCCTCAAATGCAATGCGAAAACTGTCAAAAAAATGCAATAGAGCAAGTGTGCAAGGATTCGAACTCGCTACCCTCCAGACTTGGATTGATACCATAACTACTGAGCCATCGAGACATAAGCCACTAAGTGAGGACCAGAATTATTCGAAAAACTACCGTATCTTGCGGCAGGGTACGCACCTAATCTGACAATGTCCGCGCGGCGGTATCGCGCGCGGCGCTTCTGACACTTTGCCCTCTTGGTGGTGCGCTTTCAAATGGCGATGGGAGCGCAAACCGCGGGCCATGGGAGTTAATGTTATTTACAAATCACGCAAATCATGTCTTTGCCGTAAAATGAGTGCTGCACACTCAACACTGCATTTTGCGCTGACAGCGTCGAAAGTGCTTGGGTAAGGCATATATATTGCGATTAGTTGTCTCGTTCTTGAACATTTGAGTGAAAAGGAAAGCATAGTCATCGATACAGTGTTCTGAGCGAATCGTCTTCTCGAGCCTGGATCTATAACTACACTATCCTTTCGCTCAAAAGCCGGAGTTCACTAAGAAAATTCAATGTGCTCAGTCAATGGTTGCATTTTTCTTTTCGACTAAACGCGCTAGAATCATGAATGCAACCTATCGAGTCCCAATTCAAGCATTTTTGCAGTCATTTTCGATCAAGTGGTAAACTCCTAGGTTTCAAGGACAGTGCGACCGCACTGGAATGAGTCTTGCCTTCCAGACTAGCGGACGAATGTTGTTTCTTTTACTGGAATGCCTAGAGAAGTTAAAATTTCATTTGTAAGCTTCTCCTCGAAGCTGAAGATAGTGTCGACTTAGGAAGTAGTACTATATTTTGTTCATAAAAACGAGCGCTTCACACAAGTTCACTGAGAAAGATGTGCACAGTATAGCGATGAGCCTTTCCTACGTTCCATACTCCTCACGAGCGCACTTCAATGAGGATGGAAGAGCTAGCTTCTTCAACCCAATGATTACTTCCCACTCTACTTACAACTTTGCCTCTGGGACCTGGCGCTAGCGCCACACGCGCAATATTCTAAATAACCAAGTTCGCTGAGTACTTCCTCAATGGTAGTTTGACTCCTTGAACATGATTATCACAACCGATAAACCCGAAAGCCCTGTGTCTCGCCAAAACCGATTAAAAACTTGCATACGAGAGTTTGTGATTATGGAAGTTATTTTTTTGGTGTTTTATGTTCCTCTTTGTCTTAGCGGCTACTTTTTTTCTAAAGATCTCTGCTATGTCATTAACAAATTAGTAGGTCAAACGCAGATTTATTGTGGTTTCACGACTTACATAAGGCAAAACATCTTGGTAGAAAATATCACAACGAAACGTGCTAAAATATACACAATATAGCAGGAAATATTAATTGTGAATCTAGTATTGGTAACAAGATTTGGTACACCTTGGAGGTGCTCATAGTTGGTGCCCAGACGGCATCCATCCATTCCGTTATCGAAAAGTCACACCGTGACGCGGCCATGCCTATGAAAATGATGAGATTGGCGAGCGGCAAGTGAAGGCATAATGAGAAATTGAAGAAACGAAGAAATAAGAATAAGAACGAAGAATAAGAATGTTTACCAGATATGACACTTTTATACCTCGACTGATATCAGTAGTGGCTGAGTCCGAGTAAAGCATTTGGAACGCCATGGAGAGCCACAAATATTTCGTTCGCATGCTTCTTAAACGGCGATAATAGCGAATCAAGATAACAACTTTATTTGCCTTACTTTTCAGCCTTGCCGCCTTCGTCGGAGCTTAAGAGAGCATAGCTAGCTTCGACCACCGCTAAACGAGCGAACTCGAAACCATACCATAGCGAGAATCTGCAAAAAAAGTCAGCTACCAATAGAAAAAAAACGTGAACGGCAAAAAAAACAACATTAAAAGGTGAAGAATCTCCAAAGGAATGACACCGGTACGATACCGCGTGCTACCGAAGTATTTAATATGCGAAGAAAAACATGAAAAGAAATAAAATCGCTAATAGAAAGGAGAAAAACGTGAAACACGTAAATGCAGCCTCAATTTCGAAAACCTGGCAAAGTGCCAGCGTGCCAAGAATCCATGCGTGTCCCGCCGCGAAAAAGATACGGTAGTTTTTCGAATAATTCCGGTCCTACACTTGGTGGCTTATCATCGAGACACGCCAGCTTGAGCCCTTTCTTCCGTATCCATACAAAGCGTTAGTTTGCTCATTCGAAAGTGTTAGTATGCTCAATCTAAATTGGTTCAGAAGGATTCGCAGCAGGTATGGAAATCGGATTCGTAATCATTGTGCAGAGCCGATTAGGCAATATACATACCTTTTTAAAAGGCTGCTCTGACCTACCATCCTTCTTCTAAAAGATAACAAACTAGAGGTCTCGTGAAAGATTTCATCATAGCTAAAATAGCAAGATTTAGTTGGCAAACAAGGATGCGGCTGTACGATTGAACGAGGAAAAAGTGCGATCATTACAAGAGCGACTGGAACTTGCGGAAAAACAGCTCGCCCAGAGCCGTAAAAAGGCTGAGTCCCTACCATCTGTTGAGGCTGAGTTACAGCAACGAATGGAGGCGTTGACTGCCGCTGAGCAGGTACGTTTCAGGTTATGGGAAAGTATCCGTGGGGTCTAATACATCTTGTTGAGTTTTCGAAAATTGGCAACATGTTCTGTCAGCTTTGAAGTCTTTATAATAGAACTTTGTTGGTTTGACTTGTTAGCATCCAGGAAGCGATCCATGTCATCTTCATAAATGAGCGTTTAGCTTGCATGACATTGGAGAGCTGCAAAAGGTACCATTCTATTGGCACACCTGGGTTGTACGATGAGGGACACAGTACCTCCTATTCAAAGTGAAGACTTTGTCAAGTAAAAATCGGTCAAATAGTGTTCCTGGATATCCTCTGAGATTTTGGTGGAGAATCTAGCCAGCTGCTGGCAGTAACTCTGTCTTGGGGGAAGTGTTGCGTGATTGAGCAGATTGACGTGAAAAATAACCGCAAACTATCCCTACTACAGGGGGGGGCAATAAAAAAGTCACTTTTGTTCCTTGACGTTCAGGGCGCTATAAGTCACATTCTATTGAATTCTGATCGGACATTTCTATTCTACAGCATATTAAATACTATTATGATACTCCGCCAAAAACTTGGATGAGTGCCATCGAGAGATTCGCCACATGACCGTGATTCGGTGCCTGATTAGCAAGATCGTTGATTTCTCCGCCACCGTAGCCCACCCTGTTGTGCTCCGCCCAAACCGGGTAATTAAGGGGATTCAGCTCAGGTGACCTATCTGGATATTCCATCTTCTTTAGGTACTCAACCCTCCTCCATCCAAGTAGGCGAGAGTTTCTCCAACGCCCTTCGATTCCATGTGATGGCACCAATGCTGTAGCAGTACAAAGTTTCCAAGAAGGTACGGGCGACGACATGTGGAGAGGATATTCTTCTCGAGTTGCTCGATGTAAACGCCACCGTTCACTTCCAGTCCGGGGCCCGCGAAGAAAATATCGTTCTCTCCATTCCAGGTACGTCCGGTCCCCACCATCGACTGGCGCCTTGGCGACTGTGGTGAAGATGATGTCCTAGACCGTAGCGACATTGTCGGAGCGCTCGACGTTGGAGGTCTTGCAGATCAAGAGTACTGGTCTCCAGGTAGCTATCCATGGGTGACTCCTTCAAGAAGTTTTGCAGTTCGGGTGCGTCTCCCAAATTTATTCTGACAATCCATTTCTAATCTTGATCTATTTTCCCCATCTCTGCACCGCTCTAGAAGCGAATTACGAGTTTCATCTGCGGCACCCCTAACTTTCGGCGCATGCCCCGCCCAACGTGGGCAGGGTCTCGCATGGGTTATGCGTGCTCTTCACATTTTGTCAAAGGCTCTACCTCTCCCAACCTTGGCCTTGTTTCTCCAAGCTGCTCTTCAGGTAGAACCGAAATTACGAACAAATAAACATACAAACGGACAGACGTAGCAGATTATATGCAGGGGAGGGGAGGGACAAAAAAAATCACTCCGGCTGAATCACATATCAGCGAAGTTTTCGCAGTACAGACAGAGGAAAAGGATACGAGTACCAGGGCGAAAGATACCCAAGATATTCGTCGATAAGCAGGAGCAGACCGCCGCCCATTACCTTCATGTACACCAAAATATGGAGTCATTTCCAACGCAGCCTGACTGGAAGAGGCCTCTGGATTTCACGTCACCTCCAAACACCTGCTGCTATAGTTTTTGTGCCGACGAGGTCGGCTGCTAGGTCCAGCTTCTTAATGTCGTAACGTTTCGACCAGATCGTCATCACCAAACGCCTGAACATGGCTCAAAAATTGGGACTTCTTCTCAGAATTTCTTCTTATCCCTCTAGAGTTTCTGACAGAACTTTGGCGAAACATTCCATAATCCCTTATTGGAACGACTTATCAAATTCACTGCAAATACTCGCGTTACAAAGAGAATTGTAAGAGGTCACTCACTGAAAAGCACTAGTTTTGCCTATTCATTCTACGATTCCGAGTGGGAATGGAGTCCAGCGTTATCCTGGGAAATCTGTCTCATACAGGATTTCGTACTTTGCATCACAGTGTGTTCTGCAGTGCTCTTTGCTGAATGCTTCGCTAGCCTCTTTGTCGCCCCACCTCTTACCAACAACAGTTACGCAGATCACGCCACACTGGGCTTTTAACTACTCTATAGGTAAATAGATGAGTGACCTTCCGCTTACCTTGACCCACGTTTTTTCCGTTGTCTCTAGTGCTCTGAACCGTTTTACCGGTTTTTTTCCTCCGTTTAGCAACTGGGCAAAGTTGCAAGTGATATAGAGCATATAGAGGCCTAAAGAGAAACGGTTTGCATGGATTTCTTCTTCTTTTTTGGTTTTTCCCAGGAGCGCTCGGCGACAATGGAGCTCACTTTTGTGGTGCATGTGCAAGGCTCTGCTACATGCAAAGAACCATTCCGAAAAAACGGAGCATGCCCTAAACGACCTCCCTTGTGAGCGCAGTGCTGACCCGCTCGTATGCTTAATCACAATTGCTGGTCTGCATTGCTTCCATTCCAGCTGACCTCCACTGCCTGCACATATCTCAGCCTTTTGCAGCAATTGCTCCCGAAGGCATATCTGGGTAGGCTCTATTCGCCAAACTTTCTAAAATGAAGCAAAATTTGGTGACCCTTGAGCGGGCCTGATAGCTAGTGTTCGCAGCCCCCAAGAGGATTAACTCGCTGACTGTTACCATATATGCTCATTCCACTTTTCATTGCTTCAACCACACCATCGTAAGTATTCGTTCGTACTTATTTTGGTAACCTTCCGAATAGTGTCAGCGCATTTTTTCTGAGAAAGCTTCGAAAGAGTTGCAATCTGTAATGACCTTTACACTGTTCTTTAGGATATTTCATGTCAAACAAGTTTAGGAACCTTTTAAAACACTCTACTAGTCTCCAAAGAAACATCAAAAAACGAAACATCAAAGAAACATCTGTAGATCAGGTAGAGACAATCCCAGTGGAAACTAGTTAGCTTCACCTCTGACAGACGACCGTGGAGTTTGTTGTTCTCTCCTTGAGAAGCCTTTCCGCGTAATCTGGGAGCACCTTCGGCTGAATAGTGTCGAGGTTTTTGAAGAATTCGTCCGTAGTTATGAATAGTTATGGTCATTAACCTGTGGCGAATCACTTGGTTTTGCTAAATCGGACTCGGATCAGATTTAAGTGACTCAAAACTACTACTATTGCCCGTGGATTTCGCATGAGCAAGACGCTGGGCTTGATGACGAAGCTGCTCGCTCTGCAACTTTTTTTGCTTCAGTTGCAGTCGAATTTCATCAAAGGCTCGGTCCTTTGCTTCTGGTGCTGTGGCTCTCTCCCTTGTTCTCACATTCTCACACTTATCTCACTTTCCTCACATTGCAAAGTTTCACAACCCCTTCCAAAAGTTCGCTCACCACTGCGGCCTTACTCAGGGGTCCTCGCAGCTGGCCTACACTACTTATTTGCGCCAGGTGTAAAAGCGTGAATACGCGCACGGCAATTGTGGCAGGTCGCTAATCTCTACTAGCGTCGCCTATGTAATCTCTTTTACCAGCGCCACCTGCTTCCTAACCAAAGCGACTGCACTTTCCCTCCTGGGATCGTCTGTGCACATCGACTTGGATAACTCACTGCCACAAGTGACACCTATTGTTTTCACCTGACTTAGGAGCTTATTAAGGAACTTCAAATCAACGACAAGGCACGTCCACATGGCGAACGATCGGTGAGTGAAGGAGCTTGGCTTCGAAGCTGCCCACATCCACTCACAGATCTGTCTCCAGTGACTCCACTTCGAACTATTGGATCACTCATTGCGCGGTGGTGACTACTTCCTGACTAGCTCCAGCCAGGTGGAATCCGTTATCGTCTATTTCATCCTCTTCATATCAATGGAATTTTAGGTTGCAGGAATAAATTTACATGTATCTCGTTGACGAGGAAGGTCTAGATTCGAACTGTTCTATTTTGAAGTTTATACTAAGCTGGGATTCGTTCCGAAGGAAAAGATCTAAAACCCACACTTCCCTCTGCACGGCGTAATAATTAAATTAATTTCGAACGATGAACTTTGAAGAGTCAGTGATATTCAATTTAATCTTGAAATGACGTCAGTGAATGTGTTCACTTCTTGCACGTGCATCCGCACGCTCAAATTAAGCTGATTTTGAGTTGGATGAAGGACGAGCGAGCGTGTCTTGATTATATCGTGGTATAGCATGCATCTCCTTCTTGTCGCTGTTATAAGCTGGCTTAACATCTATTATCACACTTCGTGCTGAAGATAGTATTGCCACAACTTTTGCGAGAATTCTAGGCTCTTCGTTTTTTATTCAGTTCAGTGCGATCAACGTGTGGCTCTTCGTTCTATATTCATTTCGGAGCAGTCACCTGTTTAATGTTATTTTCAGAAGCAGTTATCTGCTGAAGAACGACTACAGCGACTAGAGCGTCAAGCGCTCGAATCTTCAGCTGAGTTGGAGCGAGCCGTTCAGAGGGAGAAAATGAATGAAGAACACAGCCAGCGCTTGAGTAGCACTGTGAATAAGGTTCCTCACTGTCAGTTCAGTGGCTTGTTTTGCAGAATTATATTGAATTCCCTATAGCTTTTATCTGAGTCGAACGACCGTCTCCAGCTACATCTGAAGGAGCGCATGCAAGCGTTGGACGATAAGAATCGACTTACTCAACAACTTGAGAATACTAGGAAAATATATAATCAAGTAAGTTCCAAGCACTTGAAGCTTTTTGTTCTCGATAGCTGTTCTCAAAATTAGCGGGAAGTAGGCAGTAGGACATTAAGCTAGTGTCTATTCTCCGCGGCACTTGCCTCTGTGAGAAATTCCCTCACGCGCGTTCGTTCAGACTCTAGCACTGCTTCATTTTTTTATATGTTCTTAAATTGTTCCACCAGGACAGATACTTCAAGGAGGTTTACGGAAGATTTGACCGCGAAGGCAAAAGGCTAGAAAGTGAGTAGCAGAGACTGACAGGTGCTGAAGTAGTTATTCTCAGTTGCGGTCATCTTCTGACTGCATGTTCCGTCTGACTTCTTGCACCTGGAATATCAACTTGGACCGGTGCCAAATGTAACCATTACTATTCAATTCCCCAATAAATGGACGTGTCTTGAGTCGCTAAATCCAAATCTGCCCTCGAAAATTGCGGAACGATTCTCTGAAGGGAGTTACGTACCATTTATTCTGTGCTCTGTTCGCACAAGTTGGGAACGATACCTGTTTGCGGCAAGCGGCCGATGGTACAGTGGATAAGCGCACTGCTTCAGAAAGACGATGCCACGTGTTGGAATCCTAGACTCGTGGAGATTTTTGCTCTTGTACAGAACACTTCACATGAGTCCCCAAACCACGTCTGTTTTTCCAATTCACCTAGTTCTTCAATTATTTGACAACAGTAGGCAGCCAATTCTCCATTTCTGGCTCCTTTTGAAAACTTTTATTATGAGTATATAGGTTTCTAGAGCTTGCATTAAGAAATGAGGATCTTACGGTTTGAAAGCATATGTGGTTTTCTTCCACAAAATGGTAGAAACAATACAAGTTCTCCCAATGGGCATAGCGGATGAAGAAGTACTCTCTACACACGGTACAGTTACATTTCTCCACCAGTCCAGAGAGAAAGCAATACTGAAGAGGTGTTTCGAGTTCACCAGGATGTGCTTCGAAGTATCCGCATGAGTACCAAGAATAGGATAATAGTTTTTGAATCTAGGTGAGCAAAATCGAAAAGAGAGAGACTGACGAAAAGAGGGTTAGCCATTGGTACGATCGCACCTAATTAAGAGGTGGTTCGCGCCTGGCAGCAAGACAGCTTTAATGAGGTGCGAAAACTTGGGTGCCTAACTGCGAAGTGACCTCATTGGAGAGAGGGCTCACAAGTGAGGTCATTCAGGTCATCGCGCGCTTTTTAGAAATGTTTTAGCATGTTGTAGGAGTTCATATAAGAATCACAAAATCGGTTCAATTTTTGCTACCCACTCCGGGAAATGCCAAAAAATGAGTGAAAAGTTTGCTAAAGAGGAGCCATTTCGAGCCGTATTGTTGAGCTCTTCTCTAATTGCAAGGTTGAGTATACACAGCTAAGAAGAAATTTGTCAAACATGCATCGAAAACAACACAAAATAAGGTGGAAAACTATCTTGCCTGGCAAGTGGTGAGATAGCGATGAAGCTTCTGAAGTGACTTTCGCAGCATCCTACATCACGCATTGGGAGGGTAATCAGAACCATGTTGGCGGCAAATGGAATTGGCGCCGTTTATAAATGTCGGAACCGTGATCAGGACTATTGATGACCCCTAATACGTTTCACCAAATTTTTCTCCTCGAATTTTTCGAGTTTTGACGGTAGATATGTTGAACTGGGGTCTATCACTATCCAAGGGGTTGGTATCCAACTTCGATACCTGGATCCTGTTTACTATATTCTAGGACTATTGTCTATTTATTTTTGGGCTGGAGGTAACCTTTTCCTACCAATCCGCCGAGCTGCCCTTCTTCTTCCAAATCGGGATCGTCACGCTCTGCTGCGGGCACCTTCTTCTCTTCGACGATCTGGTTGGAGAGTTTCGTCAACCAACCCGCAGAAAACCAGCGTTGTAACTTCCACAAATCAGCTGCTATGTCGTCGTGGCCTGTAACTTGCCGGACTTCATCTTCCTCAGAGCAGCTTCTGTTTCCTGTACGGTGATCTTCTGAACGGGACCATATGTTGGTGCGATGCAGGGTGTAGCGGGATGGGTGAATTCCACCGTTAAGATGCCCTCGTATTCACGCCATCGTTGCAATACCCTTTTTCGGTCCATCAGAAGGTGGTCATTCTCATCACTTACGCCAAAAAACTTCTCAGTGTCTTCGGTCTGGGGATGACGAGATTTGGCAAGTCCGTACAGGTACCGCTCATCGTCGCGCGTCTCCAGCTTCTTGCTGATATCATCGAAGTGAACGGAATTCATAGCAGCCACGGCCGTCCTTGCCACATTCCTCGCTTCCCGATACTGCCGCCAGTTGTCAGCCGACTTGTGCTCGAGGAACGCGTGTTAGAGACTCTTCTTTTCTCGAACCTTTGCTTTGACGTCGTCCGTCCAGAGCCATGCCTCTTTGTCATTCCTACGCCGTCCAGGTTTCCTTGTGCCGAGTTGGGAGCGGGCGGCCTGGATTATAGAGTTAACCGCTTTGTCCAGCTCTCCTAAACAGTTGTGACTTCAGGTAGTCGAACACGACAAATCACGGTTGCCTCCCGCTCTTTCAGACGTCACTACTTTATTCTTTCAGGACCGCATCGTTCTGCCTTTCTCGATCTGGGAGCTACAACGCAAGTCTGAGCGTGCAGATAAGTGGGCGGTGCTGCGTGGCAACCGTTCCAAACGGTACTACCTTAGCGTCTGTCACGAGTCCTTGGTCGCCATGCCTGATGAGTACGAAGTCTACTTGTGTCTTGGTACTCCCACTGTAGAACGTGATAAGATGAGAGTCACGTTTACGAAGTTTCTTTGCGACAAGAAAATGCCAGAGCGTTTCAAGACAAAGATCATCGCACTGTCGTTCGACCTGTCGCGTTATATGGTGCCGAGTGCTGGCCCGCGGCCAAAGAAGTTAAGGTCGCCTTGGTGTGATGGAGATGAAGATGTTGCGCTGGACGGCGGGCGTCACGCGATCGGACCGCATCTGTAATGATGTCCTGCGCAGGAAGTATGGTGTAGCCCCCATAG